TTTACTAAAATATCTCCAAAAAAATTCGACGTGCTTCCAATGGTTTTAATCTCCCTGCACGTTGTGAAATAATAAATTATATACCATACATTTTATTGATTTTCATATATGTATAATTTTAGGTGTTATTATGTTGATTACTTACTAGTATTATTTTATAAATTTTTAATTTATTAATGTATACCTACATAATATAAATGGGTTTAATGAATCATAAATCGCTTGATTATGCACACATTAGTATGTGCATAATCAAGCCAACTCTTCGAATAAATAAATAATTTTAAGATAATAGATAGAACGGCGCGTATCTATTATAAACTCCCAGTAGACCTATAAGTGTATTACATTACATTACAGTTTAATATTTCTTTAAGAAAAAGCCATTACTGATGATTAGATTTGGATAGGTGTATTGATGGAATCAATTATATTGGTATGGTATTCTACTTATAATGTATATGCATAGGACGAAAATTATGTCTATTTAAGCTTAGTACTTGGTAAAATTTGAGTAAATCGCAATATATACATATTGTGTAATAGTTATGAAATAATACTATAATTGACATTTGTGATGATGGTAGGTAATCACAAATTAGGTACCTACTAATTCGTGTTCTGATTATGTAACATTTTTGATTAAGATCAACTGTTTTAGAATGACTATTGTTATTTGGTTATCAAATAAAGTAGTTGTGAGTTTTTGATTTAGTATAATTGGATTATAAGGTTTCGTATAAACAAAATATAATCTGTAATTTGTGTTTAAACTGATTTTTTTTATATTTTTTCTGGGAAATTACATTTTTTTCATTAATTATAGTATCTTCTACAATTATTTATTCTACAATTATAACTTTTAAGCTAGTGCAGTGACCATAACTGCATATTGGCTATTGCAATTTATCTATCAAATTAATATAGTATACTAGTTAATATTTTATTTTATCTGGGTAATTACTTTTTATCTCATACATAAATATATTGATTATTTTTATTACTTACTTACTTATTATTATGTATATCTCTTTTAGCATGTTATTAAAATATATATCTATTAAAAACTAAGATGTTTTATTGATAACCAACATCATGCTTGATATTTTTACACAGACTTAATAAACTACCACGTGTTATATTACTCGTTATTCCAATACCTATTCATATTATGTTATATACCTGTGTCCTGTATATAACATATTGTAAAGTTTTAATTTGTTAATTCTTTAAAATTAAAAATATTATGTGTTATTTATTGCACACTTGTTTAAAAAACAGTTAGGACATTCCAATAATTTGGTTTTAAATGACAATAGCGTCTTTACTAAAATTTATTTTGACAAGAGTGGTAAATACTATATACTCCTACCGTTTTATAAATTATTAAATGTGAGCAAAAAAAAATAAGAATAAATATTATATAATAATTAGTATAGTATTAATAATAATATTTGCATTATCTTATAAAATGTATGTATGTATATAATTATCAATCGTATTATTTTGTGTATTATTTGTTATTTTCAATGCAATTAAATATTTCTAATAATATATTAGTATACAATTGAATCATCTTATAATATTCTTTTGATATATATTTAATATTTCTAATACCGCATCACTATAATCTAATTAATTTTAACGACTTATTTTTATCAACCATATAACTGAATATTTAAATCCAATGAATATTAAATTTGTTAGCATTACAGTTTAACCCAAATTTTACATTCAGGGATAAACTGGAAAGGGTATGCTAATGTGCTGTTGCACATTGGCTGGCTCAATTGCTGAGTTAGGTGCCTAGAACGTTAAACAATATTGCTTATTAATATAATATACTTACTATATAATTTATCGTTGTAGAATACTGGACTGAATACTTCCCAATCAGTCTCTTTTTATCATGTTTTAGACTTAAGGAAAAATTATTTTTATTTTTAATAAGAAATATAGAATTATAGACTTTAACACTATATTAACTGTATTCCCGGATTTATTTCGGGAAAAAATTTACAAACATAATTAACGAAGCTTTATCAGTGTATCTCAGTTTTAATGTTTTCTCTATTGAGATAAGCATACACTAGTGTTATACTACCTGATATTATTTAAAATGTGGTTTAAACTATTCTTTAAGCTTTTTTATGTCTTTAAAAAATCCTTGAAACATTTATCAAAATTGTTCGAGTATTTTTTAAGATCATAAGTTATAAACATAAAGACATTGTATTTTATTGTACATTTGAACAACAAATAATTAATCAAATTAAAAAAAAAAAATGCCATACCATGATGTATGCTATCACATACGGTATGATGGCTAGTTTACTTCAATTTTTTTTTCTTGTAACCAATAGAAAGTCTTTGTATAAATAAAAAATTCTTAACTTTCGCTTACTAAAACGATATTCATATGTAAGCACTGTTAATTATCCTATTGGAATGAGAAATATGTTCCAATTGTACACATTAATGACGAGGTACCCAAATTTGGTTTATTTGGTACTTAGGATTCGAAAATAGGTACTAAGCTTATCGGATTAAAACTTTACAAATAATTATTTATAATATTGTGTTAATCACTCTAAGAAATAGAAGTTGATTCAACCTCCTTACGTTTAAATTTTTTTTTGTCTACAATAATTTAACAAATCTACAATATAGTTAGTTCATACGTAGTACATTTAAAACCTATTTAAAGGTTAGATTATTTAATACCTAAAATATGAATACAAATTCTCAAAAGATTTTAAGAAACAAAAAAGCCTTATTTGTATTACAGATAAGGATAAGTTATTACTAAAAACTATACTGTCTTAATGAATCTATAAATTTATTTAACCTATTTAGATATATTATATCATTAAAAGAAACTAAATCACATTATAAGAAATTGCCAAACCACAAATAAAATCACTTATTTGATGTATACATTATAGATTTTACTATATTTAATAAATGATCGTATTAAAAAATCATGAAACCTAGGGATAGTGCAATGGCAGATATCTCATCGAACCTTTACATCACATAAATAACACTATTTAGGACCATCTCAATATATACAAATAATACATCACATTAAATTATGTTTTATCATTTTATTTTTACTATAATAAAATTATATAAAAACAAGTACAATTAATATCCTTACAAAAACACTAAGTATACATTAAAAAAAAAAATAATAAAACCTTCGATAAATGAATTTAAAAAAATACAATTTCTATGTATTCATAATAATGTAGGTATGTAATACTTTCTGTAAACACACTATGCAAGGTATTACACATACTAGGTTTCATGAACGTATAATACAAGAAATTATGATTTTATCAGACCATGTAGTGTACATTTGCCGAAGTTAAAATAATGTAGAAATTATATTATATATTTTGTTAAAAAAATACCATTCTTACACGTATTTCGATAATAGACGAATAATAAATGTTTATTTACTAGTTGAATACTAATTAATTTAATAGTATTTTTAGTAAAATATATATTAAGTAATAAGTGTATAAATTAACAGCTGCAAGTGACTTCAAATATGGTAGATTTAGATGTATAGTAACATCAGTCCTAAACAGATTGCTATAGTATAACAGCTGTGTTGTTCTTTAAATGTTTTATCAAAAAAAAAAAAAAAAAAATAGTAATAAATATTAGCAATTTATAATTCCATTCTTCCAAGGCCAAGCTTTATAATATTTGTAATTGATATATGGTTATTTATATCATATGTTAAGAGTTGTAAAAAAATATTGTGATTCTAATACTTAGTTTATTTTTTCACTTTAATGAGAAATTAGTATTAATTAGTGTTTATTTTTTTTTTATGTTTATGATTAACTGTACGTTAAAAAAATTTACTCGTAATTTGTATTTATTATATAATATTATTTTACATCTATACAGATTAATTTTGTTTCTAAATATCAGATATAATATATTTTCCAATGCACTTAAAAGTTTAAGCAGCTAGAATATTATGAAGTAATATTCTTAATACTAAAACATGTGTTGTTTAATTATTCATAGCTCTTGCTATGAAACTAAATGATAAGAGAATGAGACAGTGAGTGATATACTAATATACATTAAGTCTAATTACGTCGATGTATTTTGTAAGTTAAATATGATCAACCACACAAAAGTTTTGCTTGTTTCTTCATATTATTATCAAATAAACCTAAAATGTACATAATTATAATAACAATAAATCGATTATTTTTAATTTTAATATTAAAAACTTCAAACACTGAATACTTTTCAAGATTAAGATTTAGAATTTTCATTCAAGTATAAATATGTCTAGAACGTATTATCTTTCTATTAGAATTTTTCCATTACTTTAACGAGTAATAGTGTTATGAAATTGAGTGATTTGTACAATATTTGTACGCACACACACACACATTACATACAACAACATAATGACGTATTATATGTATTGCATCTCGTGAACGAGTTCAACCCGTTCAAATGTAATCGGATTTCGGGAAAAAAAATTTCAAAACAAAAATCTTTTCGCTACTAATAAAAAATGTGTGGTTTCCATTTTGAAGGGCACGGTAAACGACGGTACCTTTTCCGACCACGACGACGGAAACGAGGTGGTCCGAATATTATTACGGCACAGGAGTCCGCCGCCGGAGGGCTGGTAATAGTCCAAACGGACGATGTGTTCGTCCGAAAAACCAACTCGCGGCGACATCTGTGGGCCAACCGAAGCGATCGGACGCCTCATCGGCGTTAGCTAAGACTTCGGGGGCGTACGGCGCCTGTCCGCCTCGCATCGATCGCCGGCACAACTGCCGCCCGTCACCGCCACCCATCGCCGGCGCAAGGTTACAAGCGACGAAGCGGTGGAGGGCACGTACAGCAAAGGACGCGCCGCGATTGGACGACGGCCGTCCTTGACAGTGTGCACCGCTGCCGAAGCAGTGGTTGTACGCACGTATTATATTTATAGGGTCGCGCCCGGCCACCGGCGCGCGACGGCCGCACGCGCCCGTTCGTTGATTCCCCGTGACCCTGCCGGGACGTCCGGTCCGTCGTCGCTCGAGTCTCACCATCGTCGCCGATCGCCTCACGGACGTCACATCGCCGGACCCCACGTTACCGCCACTGCAGCTCTCAGCGACGCTCCATCTCCAGGACCAAGGGGTGAGTACTCGTATAATACCTATACGAATAATGACATTATCCTGCGCACGTCGTGTTTTTATTTTATGAGACGACGTGGCCATCATCAAATGTCGAGACGCGCACACGTATGTTATTATTGTAACGGCCGCTTTATTTTGTCGTGATGATGGTCACGGAGTGTCTCCGACGACAACCAGCGTGCGGTAGGTATGAGATCTATCGTCGCGCGGACGTCGGGGCGGCGGCTCCGGGTATCGGAGCTTTCGGCCGCCGCGGCGTCAATAATAAAATATAACATTCGTTACACCGTAACGGCCCCGCGTGATACGCGTACCCCGGATCGAGCGTGGTTATTATACCGACGTCGTCGTCGTCGTCGACAGCGGCCGCCGATAATTGTTATCGTCGTAGAACCTTAATAACCTTATGGTAACGAATCGCGTGTTGTTTGTCTTGCCGATCGATGCCGCGGCGGCCGTCACACCGGCGACGGCTTCTTCACTCGCTTTGCCGGCCGAGTGTTTGCATACGGGCCACGCGCTCCGGCGATATTCCTGGCCCGCCGACGCCGACGCCTACTCTGCGACTACAGTGCGCGCCTACGCACTCGTCCTCGCAACTGTAAATCATCGTATTTAATAATAATATATTATCATATCCGTTATTATACCGTCACTGGATCGATGCGGATAATATATTTTTAACTTTATCCACTGTCGCAGTGACGTCGAACGTTCTCTGAAGCGATGCGATATTGAACGGTACCCGATGACTGTATGTTAGTTATCATTATTTATTACCCAATACCCACGATATAAAAGTAAAGGTATTTTGCCGTTGTCCGTCGCAATAATGCAATGATACGTTCAAAGGCCGGCGTGGATTTTAGGAAACTATTGATAATATGCGAGTTAATTAATAAGTCAAGTCGATGTCAATAACGATGTTATTATCGTTAGGTTATTGTTTGATAGTCGATGTTAAGTTATAATAGAGAATAATAATAATAATTAGTCTACAAAATATACATTTAGCTCGAAATATTTAAAGTCGTAGAATAAAAATAATATATTGATCTAAAATAGTTTTATTATTATTACTGTACCTGAATCAAACATAACGTGCATATAAATATAGTGGTTGTGGTGGTACTTAAAGATTGTTTTAATATTATAGCTAAATATTTCGTTGAACGTGCGTTCTATACTATCTCTCTTCTTATAACACGTTAGTTATACTAGTTTAGAAATGATACGTTCATATCAACTAAATTACAGAATATTAATTAATTATCAATGAATATTTATTTGGTAATTAGTACTTATTTTAATTTAATGTATACAATTCGATTAAAAAAATTAAAAAAAATTATCAATTAGTTTAAAAACAGACAGTATTCATAGATATATTAAAATATGACGCTTACTTGAAATTTTATTTTTCAAATTAACTTGAAACTTTAAAGTTACAATAGATGATTTTACTAGTTAAGCTAATAATTGCATCATGAAATAAACAAAAAAACTTACTTTGAAAGTTTTTAAAAATATTAAATTTTTAACTAATTAATGCCTATTTTTGAATATATTGTACAATACAATGACGTATTCAAAAATTTCAAGTATGAGGTGGATATAAAATTTGGACATTATGTAATCCCACACATATGCTTATATTTATTATAAAATCAAATTTAGAACAGAATATAATATATAGATGTAATATAATATATTGTGCATAGTAAATAATGTATATTTATAATATAAATAACTAGGTAATCTATACAATATAAATTTAAATATATATTATTGAACATTTTCTATTGGTGTTCAATCACTTTATGAAGTTTGCAAAACTCTCCGTTCGTATCTCTATAAATAATATTATATATGATTTTCTAATACGATGGATATTGGTATTATTTCGAGTGATAAAATAAAATATATAATTATAAATTCAATTCATATTTTAGTTTTTACACTTAAGATAAATTAATAATGTGTCAAATTAGTAGTTTGTATAAAAGCAAAAACAAATAAATCTATATCGTAAATTAGAGGTATTGTAATTCATAATATTATCCTCAAAATATATAGTATATATATAGTACTATGATATAGCTGTGTTTCTTATTTTATAAAATAATAGCGAATGTAGTAAATATCCAACAAGTTCAAAGTCGTATGTTAAGCGTATGATCACTATGGTATTACGAAAAAATAAATTGTTTTTGACCTCAAATAATGAACTCGTTGAAATCTCCAATTTCAATGTTGTCCAAGATCAATATGAATGGACTAAACATAAATACTCAATAGATATTTTCTTACTATCGGTTCAATCAATTAGAAGAATAACATTTGTCTTGTAAAATGTTTCGATATAATGTAATTATATCAGAACTTAAAACTTAGAATCTCTATTTAGTTAAATAAATAAAAAAGTAATTTTTCGTATAAACTGTACAAAAGAATATTTATTACAAACTTGTTCAGAAGTACCATTTATCTTCATTATAATATTTTTCACTTATTTTTATAAGTTTTAAGTTTAGATACGTTAATTATATTTTCGGTTTATTTAAACCAACTGTAATCATACAGTTTTGTAATAGATCCACATTTGTTTTATAGACTCAAACTATTAAAAATGTTTTTTTTTTTTTTTAAATTAACTAAAAATAAATTATTCTTTAGAAATATTATAAAAATAGTATATATTGATGAGATTTTTTTAATAACATATTTTCTTGATTGATAGTAGATTAGAAAATTAATTAAAATCTCTGTAAATTATTTTATAAAAAGAGAGGCACCTTTTTTAAAGTCTTAATAAAAATCTGTGTAAAATAAGTTTTTACACAGTGTTTTAAACATAATATTATTTTAACTCTAAGTTTAGATAATTATGTTAGGAAAACTTAAAAAAAAAACAACCATTATATTATTTGTTTTAGGTTTCAAAATATGAGACTACTTAAATTAATTTATATGACATTGAAAAAAAAAAAATACTTTCAATTAAAATATATTATGATTTATTATAAAATTAAACTATATATATATTTTAAAGGATATTGTATTAGTATGTGCCTAATACTAATGTTGAATTATGTTTCTAGTTATAGTTAAAAATAATTGAACCTTTTTAATTTTTTTTCCTGCATAACCAGTCTATGTTTTTCTATACATCTGTAAGTGTTCAAAAATTTATCAGAGAAATATTACTGATACACAGCTTATGCTTGATATAAATAAATAATACTACTAATTAATACTAATTATAAAATAATACTAATAAATACTACTTATTATTATATTATTATTTAAATTTGAACAACTCTAAGAAACTCTTATATTAAAGATTAATATAGGATAAGTGACTTGAAAAATAAATTATGACTCAAAGATAATGATTTAAGAGGAATTATTTTTTTAGCTTATTGGGGTTTTAATAAACCTTGGCAAAATTTACTTCATAATTTTTAGGGTGAATTATCTGGCATATGGAAAAAACGATATTTTTTCGAAGATATTTGGAATTTTAAATATAATTTTAGAAATAATAAAAAATTTTACTTATTAAATACAAAATCAGTTTTAGTTTTCTATTATTTTGTAAATATATGCAAATCATTAATCTTAAAACACATGAGTAGGTTTCTAACATATATATAAAATGTTTAATATTAATAAAATAAAATATTTTGATAAAAAGAAAAAAGAAATTAGTTTAAACAATTTTTTTGAATTTACATAATGTATATTGTATTCATTTATATCTATATAAATGATGATAATTATAATTTTATTGGTTTGTAGTAGTGATTAAGTTTGTCAAACATTGACCTTCACAATATGTACCTTTGACATTTAAAAATAACAAATTGATTATTTTTATCTCACACAAAAAGATATATAAAAAAATAAATCCACTACAAATATAATATGATACAAACATAAATTATACTGATTTTATTTAATTTTATTTAAATTAAAACTAAAATTACAGTATTTGGTAATCACCTACACTATTTTAAATTCTAAACGAAGCAATTAATGTATTGATGATATACGTGTGATATTTTTTTTTTTGTATCTGATATTACTTTAAGTGCAGTAAAAATGCTTTAATTTCCAACTTTAAAAATGATTTCTGGTAGTAACTGGATTTAGATGATATTCAATGGAAAATTCTTTTAAGAATTGTCGAAAGAAATAAATAAAAACCAGTAATTTTTGATTATAAATATTTAAAATTTTTCGATTTTTTTTTTTTAGCTTATTTTTGTATGGTTACATTTTTGTTTATGAGAAAAATAGTTTTGGAATACTAAAATAAGGTTCATCGTTAAGTTTTCTTTTCAAAATAAAAAAATTATCAATGATATGTAGGGATATTTTTTTAAAAGCGCATTCGAGTTTAAATTTTTGCAAAACTCAACAAAATCACGAAAAATGTGTAAATAATTTTATAGTTTGAAATATATTAAATTAATAATTTTAATGTCTTAAAATTTAAAATGTAATACACGATTTCTTATAAGTACTTTGTTAATGGAATTAAAAACAAAAAAATTAAAAGTTAATTTTTTTGATAGAATTTAAGATTTAAACGAAAAATAATGATTTTAATTATTTTGTTGTAATTAAAAAAAGTAATTTTTTTCATGTCATAAAATTGTTCATCAATGTGCAATTATTATTTACTAATTTACAATATACAAGTACTTAGATAAAAATTTTAAGTTATTAACACCATACACCTAGTCACACTACGGCTCGTCAGTATTAAGTTAAAATTTAACAATAGAAAACAGCATAATATAATATTTTATTATACAATAATACTATAATTATTATTTTAAAATATTATATAATATGCAATTTATTTTTGACAACAATTAGTTTAATCTATCATACTATTCATATAAAAAAAATTACTAATTAAAAATTTTTTTAAAATTATATAATAAAATACGGTTTATAGTTATTTAAAAATATAAGCTAACAGATCGTTTACGATTAAAATCGATTTTTGTATATAATATATTAATATGTGACTAGCTGTCGACCTACTTAATAATAAGATAATATACTCGACACCTACTACAAAGTGACTAGTAATTATCTTCCATTTCTATTAAATAAAGATAGTTAGTTCCTAAATGATCTTGAATACCTACAATTATACAAGTACATTTTAAATATATACTCGAACAATGCATGATATATATACATATATGAAATATTGTATTACAAATATATTGTAATACTATTAATGTATGAATGTAGGTTTATGACCTTTGAATAGCGATAAGTCGACAAAATATTTTGATGATAAATTCCACAGTTCAAAGACGTAAATATCCTTCAAAAGTATATTATATAGTATATACCTACACCTAACCTTTAGGCCTTTTGAAAACATTTCATCAAGTATAACATAAATTCGACCATATTATATAGATTTAATAAATAATAAATTGTATTTAACAAGGTTGGTTAACTGTATAAATAAAATCAAATGATTTAGTTTAGATATTAATGACCTACAAGTGGATGTATAAAATATATTGTATAGATCAATAAATTGGTAAACTTACAAAAAACATTTGTGAACAATTGTTTCAGTGTATTTGTAATTATTACAAGTATACTACTTAGTAACTAGTACCTATATAATATTATGTTTAGATAAAAAAAAAAAATGGGTGATGGCCAACGTTAGTTGTTATCGTTTCAGTAGCGTATAATAAAAAACAAATACGCTTATACCCAGTTGGCAGTTTCCATACGGTGATATGGACCATCTAATCGCCATAAAATTTCAAGGATAGAAACGGTTTAGACAAAGAAAACTATTGATATCCGCTTTCGAATAGTACGTATGAACTAAATAGAAGTTGATGATGCACGATTAACGGCAAACCACATGATTATATAACTTGTAAATGATAACCATGAAGTTATGAATTACCGTTGTTAGCATTTATCGGCTCATCAAACTTTTACCGATAATCCTGTATTATTACACTAAAAATACAGATTTAAAAATAAAAATACATATATTTGTTTACCGTCTCTCTGAAATAGAACAATGGCATATATTTTCAAGTACATATATATTACAGTATATAGAATGACCAGTTATTAATCGGAAATTGCACCGATCAATGATGATTATACATCTATTATTCGTTTAAAATAATATCAGATACGCAAATTTAGTCTTTTAAACATCAATCATTTTATTAGACCGAACAGGTTCAACGGTTCAATGATTAAAATGATTATTTAAATATTGACGTTTCACATGAGCTTTTATCATTAAACCGTGAAAAGGAACTATGTACGTGTTATGTACGCAGTATAATGTATATAGTATATTTTGTATATATTCAAAGCAATGAAGTTTCTTTGTATATTTGAAATTTTAAATAGATAATTTATCTGCACTTAACTTAATTAAAGTACCGTGCATTTAAAATGTCCAAGCTTCATGAGAATTAGTAATTTTAATTTTCAAAAACAATGTATGCCATGTGTATCCTTGTATTCGAGTACTTAAAACTTCAGAGATTGATTTTAAAAATTTATTTTGATTTCTAGACTGTAACTTAACGTTAAACTGTTTAAATTCCAATGTATTTAAATATTTTTGAATTGAAAATCATTGTACTTAAAAAAAATTTTTAGGCGTTTTTTTGTTGAACAAATACCATCTTTGAAAAATAATTTATGTTAAAAATTATATCTATTACCTATCTATTCCAGTAAAATTATATTTCACAAAAATAATAGAAAAATTCTACTACCACAAAACAATAAAAACTTAAAACTTGGTTTAAAAATTTAATTTATCTGATAATTAATATTAAGATTTTTATGTAGAACTTCGTCTTATTTTGATATCTTGTAGATATAAATTTGAAAAATTGCAACGTTTTTTTATAACCTTGGTTGTTAGGTAAAATTGAAAAATTGACCGGCTTCAATTATCAGGGGAATCCGCTGCATCACCATTGCATTTTATGGTACAGTTGCAGTATTAAATCGACAAAGATTTAAACATAATATAGAAGAAATAGTTTAATTTCTAAACACTATTGCCCACAAAAATATTGAAAAATATGCCAAAACTAACTAACACGGAACGGACAAAAAACTTTCGAAAACAACAAAAGAAGAAATCTAAGACATCTGGACAACAGAAAACTTCAGCTCGGACCAGTACAGAACGATCTCGAGAACACAGATCTCGAGGGAAGGAGAAACAACCTAATATAATTTCGATGACGAGACGTCAGAGTGCGCCCGTGTCGTTAGAAGTCAACTACAGTGTGGAGGTAATATAATATAAACTTTTTCATTTGTGAAGTTTCTATCCTTCGAAATTCACAACAATAAGATGTATTTCAACGTTGAAATTGGTATTCGTGTCTTAAACTGTCAATCATATATTTACTATATTTTTACATCATATGTTTTGCTCAATATTTAGTATTCAAATCCATTATCAAATCCAATTTAGTTACTAAGCCCATTAAAATGGTATGTGACACATGGAACCCAAAAATATAATTGAGCATTTAAAATTAACTTCTTACTAGGACTTAAAAATTTTAAATTAATGTGATTAATACTAGAACTATATACCACAATAGCTAATATAACAATTATTGTCTTTTAAATCTTATAACTATGTCATATTATACACTTATTTATTTACATTAATGTTGTTTTCCTGTAAATACCAGCAGGTAGAGCCCTCATATCCAAAATTACAGGAGTTCACGTTTGACTTATCTTAAATTATTTTTAAATTATTTGATCTATTTTCATTCGATTAGATATTAATATTTTATGTTTTTTATGGGTTACGTTTTAGAAATGTGAAACAGTTAAACGACCTAAATCTGATTAGTCCAAAAATTGCAATTTATATTATAATGATATGTAGTCAATAGTTTAGTTTTCTTGTATTAGGAACTCGCCTAAATTAAAATCATTTTTTTTTTTTTTAACTACCTATACCCAATACTTTTTGTTTATTAATAAAATAAAATAAACAATGAAAAGCGACTTTGTCATGATGATTACAATGTAACGCTGATTTAGCACTTGGCCTTTATTATTTTACGAATTCTGCATCGTGTAACTGTTTTAGTCTAAAATAAATAGATCCATAGATTATTTATTTAATGTTTGTTTTTTTTTTTTAGTTGATTAAGCATAAAGTAAATAAATGCATTTATTATTTATATTTTTTTTGAGATATAAACTATTAAGCTTGAAATTTTTAAAGTATAAATTTGTATACTTTTTTATATTGTTTATTGTATATCTGTCACATTTAAATGTATATTATACATACATTTTTCCGTTATCATTTCACAACAATAACATAGTAATTTGTTTATTATAACTTTAAAATATTACGTATAATTTTAATGTTTTTGAATTAAATAATTGTTTTTGTTCTGGTAGAATATCATCATACAATAATATTATAGTTATATCTTAACTAATAATATTATTTATGTATAAAAATTATTATTTTGAAGAAACTAAATTTTTCGTATTAAGTTGATTTCTAATTTACTTATTGTATAACGTGAAAATACAGTTTGTAGATATAAAACTTTTTTCAATAAAAAAAAAGAAATTAATTGCATCTGATCTATAATTAGGTTTTCATTAAGCCATTTATTTCATAATTTTATTTTATACAAAACATAATTCTATTGACCAAATAATGAATGTTTGTATCTAATTTAGGAATTCAATGTATAACTTAAATCAATTTATAAATTAACATGTCATAAACACAAATAACCTATTGCAAAACTCGATATTATAATTTTATAAAACATATGATATAACTATTCATAACATAATAATATATTATAATACCCATTGTATTCATTATTTAATTGAACTTCAACCTTATTGAGAGGGCGTTAAATTGTCAGCTTAGAATAATTGCAATTCTATATTATAATTTATAATACATATTTGAAATCTTACTTCGCCTAAAATTTTAATTACATAAAATTATTACTAATAAACCAATACCACGTTAATAACTTATGTATGGTAAACAATAATCGATTTTGACTGTTTAAAATGTAGTATTTTGGACTTTAGAATAACTGGAATAAATTAAAGTTTTAAAATTTATTTTTCATTAGTAATAATATTTATAAGCAAATTATCAAAAGTAGCTTACCTAATCAATTAATATGATTTTAATGCAAATGTTTTTGTTATATTTATATATAATAGTAAATTGTTCTATTATAATTTAATACTTATCATAGTATATTTTATAAATATTTTAATAATAAATTAATATTATTAGTATCTCCAAATAATATTATAAATTATAATACGATACATACAAATATTATATTGTTTGGTTCATTTAAAATCGATCAATTAATCAATGCATAAAAATAATTATTATATTTTTATAATTGTAAGAGTTATAAATTTTAGTTTCTATATTTGATATACAATACAAAATATAACCATGTATTGTATTAATACAAATAGTTATGATACAATAATAATATGAAACAATCTTTTTAATTAACACAATATTATTTTTATGATAATTTAAAGAAATTCAAATTATAGAAAAAAATTATTCTTACAAACTAGTGATTTATTACTTTTAACTCAGAAAATATTTTTTATTTGCATTATTGTTGGTTGTGACATATGAATTATGATAACAATGCTACGACTTGAATAAATAAAAAGGCACGGGAAATTCGAAAGGATACCAATACATCAGGTGACTCTTTTTGGTACCTTATATAAGGTCGTCATTTCCCCAAATCGGACTAAATAAATATTTGTGCACCCGAATCGTTTCAATTTTTATTATTTATTTATTTTTTATTTTTTTAAGGGTAGGTACATGAGAATACAAATAATGTAAAAATAAATTTAAATGGTCAAATATTGATAATACGAATTTTAAACGTCGCAGGTTACAGTAAAACGTCGTTACACTGCTCTGGTTTAAATTCGTTTTCTAAAGGGGTATGGATTTTTAAGGAGAGTGTACGCACAAATTGGTATAATTCAGGCAAAACAAATGAAACTGGTTCGTTGTAGATACGCGATAACTTACGAATGTCAAGGAGACTCGCCTCGTCGGGCTGTATAATACTTCACACAATATAAGTCGCTCTTTCTAAACCATATTTTAACTCGGTTGAACGATTTCTAGTTCGTATCGTGTTCAGTCTCGTTTAACGTTCCCGAATAGTTTCGGCGTTTGTGACTATTTCAATAACACGCGTTTGTCTGCAATAAGCCGCCAACACTGTACGGATATGCATCAGAACAAATCCATTCATTGTAACCCCATCAGCCTATAACATACGAATACCTAACGCAACATAAATAATTAACTCACGTCGGTGGGGACGGGTCGATGTTTGGTTACGTTTTCGCAGACAATGTTCCTCTTCCGAATCGGCAGAACCGGCCGGTTGGCTGAGACTTGGCGACCTGGCGATCGGCGACGGAGGCGTGTGCGTCACGTCGCTGATCAAGGACAAGATACGCGAGTACATGCTGAACGAAGAACAGCAGCAGACGACCGCGATGTCCTCCACCGTAGCGCCGCGGTTCCGGTCCACGCGGTGCAGGCGTCCAAGAACAGCGACGTCACGTGCGTCCGGCGCATCGGGAACTCGCTGGACCTGCTGTTGCGCGAGCCGGAACGCCGGTCACGCCGTGGCCGCCACTGCAAACAGTCGTCGTCTTCGCCGCCGTCTATCGCCGCCGCGGCCGCGGACGTGACTTCTGCCGGCTGCGCGGTCATCACCGCCTCGGTCGACCACATCGCGACCACCGCGGTGGTCACCGCGCCCGCCGACAGCTCGCGCCCGACCGTCGACCGACCGCTGCCACCGCTGCCACCGCTGTTCACCAAACGGTAAGTCGATTGTACCTATGCTTAAAACTATTTATAATTTCATTACCGTTTGTATTATAAGCTAGAGTTTACAATAACACAAGTACCTACGGGTAATAGTATTAATTACGAATGTTCCACGTGGGTCGAGAAACTGCAGTTCTAGATGATAAAATGGAAATCTATTTAAAAAACATAATTGATCAAACAACAAGTATAAATGTTTAATCGTTTCGAGCATGAGATAGGAGTACATGTAGATTACCGTCGGTATCATTCATAAGTCATTAACTATTATAGTTTATGACTTACATCAAATAATTTAGTTAGATTAAAATATTTAGGTCTTTTATACATTTTTATGATTCGGAAAGATTTATGAGTTATGACTAATCTCTAAAGTCTTAAGTACAATAATTAAAGGATAGACGGGTTTCATTCATATTGATGGAGTTTAGCAATCTTACTAATATGATGTAAACATCAAATTTACCAAATTCTATGTAGGCAGGTAGGTGAGTTTGGTTAGGTGCATACCTATACTCTATTGGTTTCAATGATATTTCTCACGAGAACATAGAGTATTTAGTTCTTACGCATACCTATACTTACCAAAATATCATACGATGATTTATTTTCAGTGACACAATACTGATATATCACATTTTATATTTTAGAATATGAAAATACATATTATTGTAATAATCATACCTTATAAATGCGTTTTTTGTATATACCAGTCGTGTTATTATTATGTTGTGTAGTTCGACTCAAAGATATTGTGAGCAAAACATTAATTAACATTTCTTTTATTAATTATTATTATTTAATACGTAACAATGTTTTAATTTTTTGTAGTTATACATAAACATATACATATTGATGTTTATTAAAAATTAAAGTAAAAAAAAATAAAATACACAAATTATTACTTGAAAAAAGGTAATTAAACATAACTAAGTAATATTAATATTATTCAATTGTGTGTTATTACTGCTGTTTTTAGATGTAAGTTGAATTATTAGTCTTTTTATTGGTGTGTTTTATGCACTTATAAATTGTAATGCATTGATTAACATTCATAGAATAGAAAATACAACGACAACAAAAAAATGTAAACACAGTATTTCGTGTCCTTCAGAACGAAATCTATATAAAGGTTTATTTTGAGGTTTGTAGCTATAATATAGACTCATATTTTCTAGTATTATTCTCTATACAATATGCTCTTAATTTTTATAAATGCTCAAGAGTAAATTAAATTTTATGACTAATTCATTGGCTATGATTCAATTATTTAGACTCCTATAATATCATAATTACAACTCATTGCTTATCTATGTAAGAATATAGAATACATTTTTATATTTACACATTAAGATTTAAAGTAATTCAAATTAAAATTATCAAAGTAATAAAATATTTAAAAAAAAACTTATCGTAAAACAAAATATTCAATCATAATAATTAAGTAAAAGGAATAACAAAAAAAAATAAAAATATATTTTATATATTTAAATAAAAATTTAGTTACTATAAAATAGAGACTTAAGACTAGATACTAAGCTCTTATTAAATATATTTTTCTATTTAAATATTATTGAGGTTTAATATGATGTTATTAGGTTATTATGTATAACCATTCATGATAACACAATCAATATGATATTGTTTTAACGGTTTACATATTTAATTATATCTACATCCGTCCACTGAAAATTAATTATAATATTAAATAGTAAAAATTAAAAAAATATATACTTTATTTCTCAATTTCAATAATACGATAAAAGTTTATCATCACAACCTATACAAAAAAATTTTTAAATAACTTGGATTTTGTATTATATTTTTGGATTTTATTTTTATATTGATTAATAATGAATAACTTTACTTAAAAATAAAAGTGATTTGTGAAACAAAAGCATTTTAATTATTAAATCAATTTTGATATCATAAATATCTAAACATGTATTGACGTAAATACTAACTTATGTATAAATTATGACTATGTTCAAAATAAAAAAAGGAATTGGTTTTTTTAATAACAATTTTAAACAAGTGTTTTACATTTTCATGGTTTGATGCACATTTTTAAAAGTTGTATAATTTACTCATACACGCGTAATCGCGTACTACTGCAATGGGAAATTCATATATTTTAATAAGATAAACTCTATAATCATTTGTGGATAGTAGTTGACTAGACAAAATTAAATGTTGACGTTAGAAATATAGCATAGGTACATGTGAATTAATTTTACAGTTCATTTTTTTCTTATTTATTTTTCTGACAATAGTATTTTTTTTCAGGTAAAAAATAAAAATAAAAATAATTGTTTACCTAAATATTCACGTAAACAGCTATTATATAAATTATTATTAAAATTAAAATTGCCGTTCCTTTTCTGTAAATCTTCCATGTCATCCTAAATTTCGACAAAATACTTATACTTAGTATGATTAAACTATTATTAATTAATGTATTTTAATATATTAAACTGACATTGATAAATTATTTTAGATAGGCCTGTTCAATTTGATTGCCATTCGTCAATTCGTCATTTGTGTCTAAAAATTAATAAAATTATATATATATATATATAAGTAGAATTTAAAATAAGTAAACTACGGTTATATTATTATATAAGTTATTAAATTACAAATATTTGTTACCGAACAATATTGTAATACATTTTTTGCTTAATTATTTTTGAAGTCTAAGAAGATAAAAAAAAAAAAACTCTAAAAAGTATAAGAATATTAAAATCTATATTTTTTTGGTAAAACACGAATAAATATATAAACAATTGCAATTTGATTGTAATTAAACTATCCCAAGATTGATTATTTAGTTATATCAACTGTTATTTTAAAGCTTCAAACTTAACAAAATATGAATCAAAGATTATATATATAATTAAAAACTACTTGTATACTTGTAATATCCAATCAATTATTGAAAATTTAATTTTTGGCTGAGTGATAACCAAGCACATTAATACGTAATTCATATGAAAAAAATACTAAATAACATGCACTTATAAGTAGGTACACGTGAAAACAAAAAAAATTCTTTTCAATTCTATTCGGTTTTTATAATTCGAATTTCAAATATGCATACGTTTCATTTAGTTAATTTCCATACTACTTATTATGTTATTAACTTTTATTTTAATTTATAGTTTTTCTTGAAATTATATCAGTAATTTGCTTTTTTTCGATAATTGAAGTACAAAAAATAATATTTTTTAGTGATGTTTAAATTGTTAAAAACAAATATAATAACATTAAGAGTTTAAACCGTGTAATCAGTTCTAATATAATCTAAAGTATAGGTACTTATAATTTACTTCATAATGGTATAAATTGTCATAATAATTCACGAACATAATGATAATTTTACAGACAATGTTACAATATAATGTCATAGATTATTAAAGCATATATAATCGTCATATTTATTATAATAAATATGTATTTATAGTATGACTTTTCTATTTAACTAGAGCAAGGACACGATAATTTAGCAGTAAGAAACAAAAAATAATTAAAGGGATTACTACTAAGGAAAACTGGATTATTAATTTAGAACCTACTACCTACAAAGAGTTTATTTTAGTATAATATATTATAATTTATAATTAATATCTATTAATTATTATTTTAATCGTCATCGAATAATAAATAAATAATATATTACTATCAATATTATTAGCTTTATAATAATACAATAATATCTAAACAATAAAAAAGTTTTATAAAGTAAAATTTAATTTTTATTAAACGATGATTTATAGAACTTTATAGAAGGGGGAATGAAGGACCTTGTGTAATGTTTTTTTTTCCTTGAAAATAATAGTCTTATAGATTTTGTTTTCTATAAAAAAAAATATACAATGACGTCAGATTTTGACCAATTTATTTAAATTTCCAATTTTAAGAGAACTATTTATATTTGTGTAGCTTAACGAGTACTATGTACTTATTTAATGCTTATTTGATTTATATTTTAATCGATTATATTGAAATTGTTCATCATTCAGTATTTTACCAATAAAATGTGTTATTAATTAATTGTTTATTAAAGGCAGATAAGTAATTAGTTATGGCCTGTCTTATTCTCTAGTTAGCAGTTACAAGCGTATTTATTGAATTTATTGCAAAAAAGTTATAATTATACAATATATATTCTCAATTTTATTTTTATAATATATACCTTTATAAGTATCTTTCTATATCATATTATTATGTCAATTTTATGTATGATCTCAAATTAATAAGACATATTCAATTAAATTTAAGTATCTATTTACCTATATACTTCATTTTTGATTTCTATAGGTTAAGCTAATTTCAAAAATTCAATACTAAATTCATATTTTAATACATACCTAATAATACTATAGATACTTACTAAACATTTTTATCGTGTTTCTATTCAATCTAGGTATATCTTTATTGTTTATTTTATTGAATATCACCTTACGGTGCAAGTCTGTATAATATTAAAAATAAATTAATTTTGAATGTTTTTATGATTCTATTTATACATGGTAGGTATCGTTTATTGTGTTTCTGTATTATTTACATATTTAAATACTTTTTACACTTAAGGATTAGATAACTATTTTATTATGGAAGGGTAGTTGTTTTACTTTTAAATTGCTTATATATTCTCTACTTTAAAATATTAAGTAATATGGAATTCTCTGTACATATTATAACATAATATAATAAATAATATGATGTTTAACACATATTAGGTGCATAATACATTAATATAAGAAATCATTATAGTTATACCGTTAATCAGAACACAATTAGTTATTATTTTTTGTATTTATTACAGTGCCCATGTATTATATTATACGCGGCTTTTATTTTTTTTTTTTTTTTTTTAATTTAAAACCAATACTAAATGTTTACAAATAGTCTTTATTTTTCAATATTATTATCATAAATTTGTGGTACAATAATTATTTAAATGAATGTAATTTCACATTACGCATATTATTCGC